CCTATCAGATCTAGGCATAGTACCATATGTGACAACTCGGCTCGCGTGACGTTTGCGACATTGTGCTCAAGGGCACTAAATAACTAGCTCGGACTCTACTCAAATGCCATAATTGACTGGCAATTCAATAAGCGTACACGTCTCTAAGACATGAGCTTGACTGAATGTCTCAGATATCACAAGATGCTCAGCACTTCAGGGGTCTTTCCTCGACATGAGTGATCCACTAATCGAACAACTATCATAATCGACCGCACTACAAAGAGATTTGCAGCGTCTTTTGAACATTGCAGTACTGTAAACCTATATGCATCTAGTAACGCAGTGTATTGGAAGCTATGTATTTGCCTCCTGGCCAAGTTTACTTGGAGAATCCTCAAATACACTGGTCGTATGTAAATCAACAGTTGGTGATATCATTTCGATGAACACATACAGACAGCTTCGGCCGGCTCGTATACAAGTGTGAGCTGTTAAAGTAACTCGTTGGGTATTACGGAAGCAACGACATCATCTTTAGCAATACCTGAAGGTCTGTTAGAAGCAAGAAGTAAGTGCTAGGTAGGAGCTGATGGCACTTGCCACAAACGTAGGGAAGATTGTGCAAAGATAGGTGTTACCCGACCTACTTGAACAACCTGATGTAAGGTTTCCCTTTAAACAGTGACTCTTTTCGTCATGCTGAATACAACTAGGCAGTTCCCTAAAATTTATCTAGTTGACACTCCATCCTTCCCGGTCAACAAATAATTCATAAATAATCAACGAATAACTACCACGTCATAGATACATGTATGCCAACGTGCTGTTACTTGGTGGTACCTACTTGAGGCAGGAACGAGTATGGCCTATTAGGCTCCTCACCTGCCTGCCTACTTGTCTACCTGGGTAGGCACTCAGCAACAAACTCACGCCTTCCTCACACGCTCAGGCACCTCGCCTTAGGCACCTACCTACCCGGCCCATCCCTCCCACCCACCCTCTTGATACCATTTGTCCGCCTGTTTACATCAACGGAATTGGTGTAGTGGTTAACATTTCGGATTCTCATAAAGTCTTCCGAAGCCAGGGGTTCGATTCCCCTATTCCGTGACTTTTTTCCCTCCCCTTCCGCTCGCTACCTTTTGCTTTCTCCCCTTTTCTACCCCCGCCATATGCTCCCTTTGGTGTGATTGTAATTCATCCTTCATGGTGCGACGCATATCATAATAGGATTCGTGGTAATCAGGTCTGAGATGCTTTTTGATATGTGATACATAATGCGCCGAGGTCTCGAACATAGTGGGCTTGCACAACACAGGTAAGGCTACAGTTTACGAACCATGGATGAGCAATCGTGACAGAACCAACAAATTATTTCCCGCTCTCCCCAATTGTGATTGTTAGCGCAATAGAAGTAAGAGAGCCGGTGAGATTGGTCGTCATTCACCAATGCAAACAGGCCAAGATGATGGCTTCGAGGAACAGCCAAGCTACTAGCAGACAGCACACTCATGTAAAGAGCTGTCGTTCAGTCGGGAAATTCTTCAATAGCAACAGTCTCAAACCAATTGGAGCATCCGGCAATATAGATAAGCCCCATTTCCTAAGATCTTAGGTCAACTACATTCTTTCCTACCAGGTACCACTACGTAATATAAGTGATAACTCCCTACATTTGAGCCTTACGCAGATATGGTTTCAATTCTTATCATGTTAGCACACCTTGCATATGGTCAATCCGAAGCACTCGGACGCATATCCTTACTCCATTGGAAGCTTCGCTGCAACACGCAGCATTCAGTACCATAGCATCAGCATGAATGGATATATATTATGCCAAATATTAGCAGTAACGTTATCCACGGGCAAGTGTCACACACGGGCAAGTGTCGCACTTTTTCTTAAACTTTTAACTTCTAATTTTATATATATATTTCTTTACAATAATATAATAGTTTAATAATCTAACAAAAGCCGATCTATAGCTAGCGTTTTAAGCTAAAAACTGTAACCCTAAAACTATCCTTACAAAAGTTTAGTTAAATCTATAATATCTACGCCTATATATTACAGCAAAGAATCAATAGTAACACGCCTTACTATATTACTAATTATTAAATTATCGAATATTTAATAATTAGTAATATAGTAAGGCGTGTTACTATTGATTCTTTGCTGTAATATATAGGCGTAGATATTATAGATTTAACTAAACTTTTGTAAGATAGTTTAGGGTTACAGTTTTTAGCTTAAAACGCTAGCTATAGATCGGCTTTTTTAGATTATTAAACTATTATATTATTGTAAAGAAATATATATATAAAATTAGAAGTTAAAAAGTTAAGAAAAAGTGCGACACTTGCCCGTGTGTGACACTTGCCCGTGGATAACGTTACTGCTAATATTTGGATAATATATATCCATTCATGCTGATGCTATGGTACTGAATGCTGCGTGTTGCAGCGAAGCTTCCAATGGAGTAAAGGATATGCGTCGAGTGCTTCGGATTGACCATATGCAAGGTGTGCTAACATGATAAGAATTGAAACCATATCTGCGTAAGGCTCAAATGTAGGGAGTTATCACTTATATTACGTAGTGGTACCTGGTAGGAAAGAATGTAGTTGACCTAAGATCTTAGGAAATGGGGCTTATCTATATTGCCGGATGCTCCAATTGGTTTGAGAACTTTGCTATTGAAGAATTTCCCGACTGAACGACAGCTCTTTACATGAGTGTGCTGTCTGCTAGTAGCTTGGCTGTTCCTCGAAGCCATCATCTTGGCCTGTTTGCATTGGTGAATGACGACCAATCTCACCGGCTCTCTTACTTCTATTGCGCTAACAATCACAATTGGGGAGAGCGGGAAATAATTTGTTGGTTCTGTCACGATTGCTCATCCATGGTTCGTAAACTGTAGCCTTACCTGTGTTGTGCAAGCCCACTATGTTCGAGACCTCGGCGCATTATGTATCACATATCAAAAAGCATCTCAGACCTGATTACCACGAATCCTATTATGATATGCGTCGCACCATGAAGGATGAATTACAATCACACCAAAGGGAGCATATGGCGGGGGTAGAAAAGGGGAGAAAGCAAAAGGTAGCGAGCGGAAGGGGAGGGAAAAAAGTCACGGAATAGGGGAATCGAACCCCTGGCTTCGGAAGACTTTATGAGAATCCGAAATGTTAACCACTACACCAATTCCGTTGATGTAAACAGGCGGACAAATGGTATCAAGAGGGTGGGTGGGAGGGATGGGCCGGGTAGGTAGGTGCCTAAGGCGAGGTGCCTGAGCGTGTGAGGAAGGCGTGAGTTTGTTGCTGAGTGCCTACCCAGGTAGACAAGTAGGCAGGCAGGTGAGGAGCCTAATAGGCCATACTCGTTCCTGCCTCAAGTAGGTACCACCAAGTAACAGCACGTTGGCATACATGTATCTATGACGTGGTAGTTATTCGTTGATTATTTATGAATTATTTGTTGACCGGGAAGGATGGAGTGTCAACTAGATAAATTTTAGGGAACTGCCTAGTTGTATTCAGCATGACGAAAAGAGTCACTGTTTAAAGGGAAACCTTACATCAGGTTGTTCAAGTAGGTCGGGTAACACCTATCTTTGCACAATCTTCCCTACGTTTGTGGCAAGTGCCATCAGCTCCTACCTAGCACTTACTTCTTGCTTCTAACAGACCTTCAGGTATTGCTAAAGATGATGTCGTTGCTTCCGTAATACCCAACGAGTTACTTTAACAGCTCACACTTGTATACGAGCCGGCCGAAGCTGTCTGTATGTGTTCATCGAAATGATATCACCAACTGTTGATTTACATACGACCAGTGTATTTGAGGATTCTCCAAGTAAACTTGGCCAGGAGGCAAATACATAGCTTCCAATACACTGCGTTACTAGATGCATATAGGTTTACAGTACTGCAATGTTCAAAAGACGCTGCAAATCTCTTTGTAGTGCGGTCGATTATGATAGTTGTTCGATTAGTGGATCACTCATGTCGAGGAAAGACCCCCTGAAGTGCTGAGCATCTTGTGATATCTGAGACATTCAGTCAAGCTCATGTCTTAGAGACGTGTACGCTTATTGAATTGCCAGTCAATTATGGCATTTGAGTAGAGTCCGAGCTAGTTATTTAGTGCCCTTGAGCACAATGTCGCAAACGTCACGCGAGCCGAGTTGTCACATATGGTACTATGCCTAGATCTGATAGGCGGTCATCAACATTCGTTTCCAGAAATCCATGAGGAGCAGTTTGAATATGTTATCATTCGCCCACATTAGATGTAGATAGACTATGGGATTTCGAAAAAGGGCCCGTTCGGCATCGATTGGGAGAACGGGTCATTATCATCCTGCGTCATCGACTGAATCCATTCATTCTGCAACTCTGGAGGCATCAACCCCAGAAAAGGATCGAAGTCTCCCGGGTCGTACATAGACGTATCGTTACGTGTCGTCCCCAAAGGTATTGTAGCTGAGGGTGTAGAGTTTAGATTGGAATGCAGCAGCTGCGTGTTCATACCTGCGAGCTCCTGTGATACCTGAGTCATAGGTGGAATCGGCTGCATTTGTTGTTCCGGCACTATCATTTCATTTATATGTCCCGGCCTCGGTATCTGCATTTGTGTCTGAGAAAGTGGCGCTTGCTGTTGGGGGCGCTCCGCCTGTTGCAGATCGCGCACACGCTTGGTTTTCGCTATCAGCTTGTTAATGGGCTGACCGAAGTCGTCGCCCTGCTCTGATCTGACGTGAAACTTGACCGACAGCCACTTCTCATAAACCAAAGTCGCATATGCCCACGCCTTGTCGCATAAGGGAGAGGGCGGCCGGATGCATATCTCGGACAGAACGAACGCTAAACTCTGCCACTGGATGTACGTGTACGAATGCCAAGCGAAGCGGTCCAGACTAGAGTCGTCCATTATTTTCAATGTCCTCTGGTGTATGTCAATCGCGCAGATGAATGCTTGGTCGCGTAGTGCTTGTTCGTCAGTTTCGACTCCGGAGTCCCCCTGATTCTTACTCGTGTTGTCATTGTTGCCCCGAGGAGAACTGGCCTCTGCCTTTCGTTTTCGGAGAATAAGTTCATTGTATATAACAAATGCCCTGACTCGCCCTGTAGATATGTAACAAATCTCTTTTGCGAGACGTAGAACAGGTTGGGTTGTATCCCAATGTTCAACATATTGTTCAACCCATTTATCGTGTTCATCCATGATGCGAAGACGGCTGTCAAGTGGCAAATGGCCGGCTCTAAGAAAAGGGTCAGCGTTACGTTTGCCCTCGCAGTAAAAAAAAAAGGAAAAGCACAGGCTGAGTTGAATAGAATAGGTACGTATGGACAATTAGTCCATGCTTGATGACGAACTTGAGGTACGGCACTCACTGTTTCACCTTTTGGATAATCCTGGAGGAGTGCAATCTAGTATGCATGATTGTCATCTCGGTGGCTTGATTGCTCTCGGGTGGTGGTTGCATCATATCGCTAGAGAGGTCTGAATCATTCACATTGAGTGGCCAGTGTGTATCGAGGGCTGTCTTCTCGGCAGCCACGCCGAGTTCGTAGCCGTGGTACTCTGTAGATCGATGGTCGAGCATACAGATATGATGCCAGATACGGCGCCGCATCTCCGTTTCCAAGGGCGGCAGGTTGAAGGCAGTTCCATCCCGATGAAAACCCATGGAGCGCGCTATGTGGGAGCATAACGCGATTAATGACCATACTGTGCGTGTCCCGTCATCTGACCGTAGCACTGAGACGTAGAGGACAGCTGCTTGTAGCAGCAATGTGTTGTGCGTACTAAGTAGATTAGCACGCGCCAGTGCCTGCTCTACTGCAAACTTGTATCGCTCAAGAAGGACAAGGCGTGATTCTCCCAAACTGTTGGCACACTGGTCCGGATCTATGCTGATAACCGCCGAGTAATAAATCGCAAACAGAAGTGCTTCTGTCTGCTTTCCGATAGAGTCCGGTGAAAACGCAGCACCCCAGAATAGTCGTATCAGTGTTGGCGCATGAAAGATCCGAACTACTGGTGACACATTGTCGTTGAACAGTTGGAATAACTTCATGCAGGACTCGAGGGAAGGATGA